TGAAGGTTTCAGAGGTACAGCTTTGGGGGTGTGATTAGGTCATGAGGGTGGAGCTCTCATGAATGAGATTCCTACTCTGAAGAGAGACCCTGTAGAGATCTCTCACCCATTCTCCCTTCTCCCAGTGAAAAGACATAGTCTGTAAACCAGGAAAGGGCCTTTACTAGACATCAAATGTGCCGGCACTTTGATCTTGGACTTTCCAGCCTCCAGAACTGTGAGAGATAAATTTCAGTTATTTAAAAATTACCTAGTATAAATTTGCTAGTATTTTGTTATAGCAGCCCAAATAGACTAAGACTTCAGCATATGAATTTGGGGCAGATATAACTCAGCTAATAACTTACACTAAGTATAATTTTCCCCCCAGTTATCAAGTTGAAATAAATTAGTAGCATGGTCCAGCCCATGTGGCTCAGCGGATAGAGCATCATCCTATGCATCAAGAGGTCACTGGTTTGATGCCTGGTCAGGGTATATGCCTGGGTTGTGGGTTTGATCCCCAGTAAGGGGCGTGCAGGAAGCAGATGATTGATGTTTCGATCTAAAAAAATTAATAAAACATTTTTAAAAAATAAATTAGTATGAATTTAGCTTCCTGTTTTAGTTATAAATTTGACTTCCATCATTTTCAATTAACTGTTAAATATGCAACTGCCTGATGCTTAAGTTTAACACAGCCTAGTGGGTAAGAGCATCTATATTAGAATAACTGCTATGCAACTAACTGATTATGTGGCCTTTGGCAAGGTACTGATCCTTCCTTATTTAGGTCTATGGGTATAATAATAACACCTACCTTATTGGGCGGTTGTAAAGATTAAATGAGATAGATAAGGCATATAAACTAGGAGATTATTAGGTGACTCGGGTCAGGGCACATACAAGAAGCAACCAATGAATGCATAAATAAATGGAACACAAAATGTTTCTCTAAAAGTTAATCAACTCAATACAAAAATTTAAAGATATATTTTTATTTATTTCAGAGAGGGGGAAGAGAAGAGGAAGAGGGAGAGGGAGACAGAAACATCATGAAGAGAGAGAATCAATGATAGGCTGCCTCCTGCATGCCCCCTACTGGGGAAGAGCCCAGAACACCAGAGAAACATCAACTGGCTGCCTGACTGGGAACTGAACGGCGACCTGGTTCATAGGTCAATGTTGAACCACTGAGCCACACAGGCCGGGCTAAACCATTTTGAAAAAATGTAAAACAATGCCACTTTTTTCAGTAAGTCGTTTTTTTTTGTTTTGGGAAATACATTTAAAAAAATATATATATTTTATTGAATTTTTACAGAGAGGAAGGGAGAGAGATAAAGAGCCAGAAACGTCGACGAGAGAGAAACATCGACCAGCCGCCTCCTGCACACCCCCCACCGGGGATGTGCCCGCAACCAATGTACATGCCCTTGACCGGAATCGAACCTGGGACCTTTCAGTCCGCAGACCGACGCTCTACCACTGAGCCAAACCGGTTTTGGCGGGAAATACATTTTTTAAGATAAAATGTATATATGTAAATAATTTATCTTTTAAAAATGGTATCAAATTTTCCAAACATTGTTTTAATTTTTGGTATGGCAAATATTGTAATTTCTAAGTGTACCAAAATCACTACATCCATTAGTTTGAAAACCATTGGTGTAGAGCGGTGGTCGGCAAACTCAACAGAGCCAAATAACAGTATGACGATTGAAATTTCTTTTGAGAGCTAAATTTTTTAAACTTAAACTTATTCTAACGCCACTTCTTCAAAATAGACTCACCCAGGTTGTGGTATTTTGTGGAAAAGCCACACTCAAGAGGCCAAAGAGCCGCAGTTTGCCGATCCTGGGTGTAGAGTATGGGTCGGCAACTAAGTAATTGCGGATTTTTTAAAGAAAAAGACAATTTTTTCATGGAATTAAATAACTTTATTCTGTAATGTATTGCCCATTTTGATCAATGACCTTTTGCCATCTTTCAGGCAGCATCATAATCCCACGTTCAAAAAACTTCTGGTTTTTATTAGCAAAAAACTGAATCAGGTACGATTTGACATCATCATCATTATTGAAATTTTTACCATTCAAGGAGTTTTGTAAAGATCGAAACAAAAAGTAATCAGATGGTGCAAGGTCAGGACTATATGGTGGATGTGGCAAAACATCCCAACCAAGCTCCATTAATTTTTGCCGAGTGACCAAAGATGTGTGTGGCCTTGCATTGTCATGATGGAATACAACACCTTTTCGATTTGTCAATTCGGGCCGCTTTTCTTCAACTGCATTGTTTAATTTCGTTAGTTGTTCAATGTAGACATCAGAATTGATCGTTTGGTTGGGTGGTAAGAGTTCAAAGTAGACAATTCTTTTGTAATCCCACCAAACTGATAACAAAACCTTCTTTTGATGAATATCAGCTTTTGATGTTGTTTGAGTTGGTTCACCTGGCCTGCTCCACGATCTTTTCCGCTTGATATTGTTGTAAACAACCCATTTTTTATCGCCAGTTATCAGTCATTTTAAAAATGGATCATTTTCATTACATTTCTTTAGCAAATCGCAGCTGCTAATGCGTTGCGTTAACTGTAATTCTTTCAGTTCGTGAGGAACCCATGTATCGAGATTTTGAACATAGCCAAGTTGTTTTAAGTGATTTTCAATGCATGTATGTGATACATGAAGCTTCTCTGCAATCTCACGTGTTGTACTATGACAGTCCGAATTGATTATTGCTTAGATTAGGGCGTCATCAACTTCAACTGGACGACCAGAGCGTTTTTCATCTTTGAGTGAAAAATCACCAGAACGAAATTTGGCAAACCAATTTTGACACTGCCATTCTTTTAAGGCTTCGTCACCATAAACAGCACATAACTTTTTATGAGCTTGCGATGCGTTTTTCCCTTTGCGGAAATAAAAAAGCAAAATATGACGAAAATGTTCCTTTTGATTTTCCATTTTTCAACGAACGCCAAACGAAAACTACAAAACAGATCAAAAAACTTTTTTTACTGATTAACAGCTGAATAGCCAACTATCAAATAACAAAATGTGTTTTACATTTGTACTAAGTCTGCAAACCTAAAAATTCAACTGAAGCCATGTGTGAAACCCGCAATTACTTAGTTGCCGACTAAGTTCATTTAGTTTATAAATGAACCATAGTTATTCATACATTCTTCTGTCATTGAATTTTATATGGTTCCTCCTTTTTTACCATCACAGTCAGTCTTGCTCTGTATGTCCCTGTATGTTTAGCAGCATGCATAGATAAGAGAGTTTGTCCAGGTAAAGAACATACCTGGATGCAGAATTACTGGATAAAAGGGCACGTGCAACTTAAATTTTTTTTTTTTTTTTTTTTTTACATTAAGTAAAGGTGAAAATAGACTCCAGAAATACTAAAAAAGTGGAATTAGTGGAACTCGGAGTGACAGGCAACTCCATGTGTAAGGTACAAAATGCAGTCAGAGTCGTAGGCGCAGTATCTGAGAACCGTTTTGACTGAGTGTAATTTGAGGAAAGAGGTGGAGCAGACCCTATCTAACTGGCCTGCATTACTTTTCTCACCCCTGCTTTCAATCCACTTGATGTACTGTGGGCATTAGTGGTGTCAGCAGCCAGGTGTTGGCCTTTTGGGAGCAGCTGGGAACTTAGGTTCTTTTTGTTCCTTTCATTTTTGTGTACTAAGCTTTGTCTTTAAGTTCCCATCTTCTAGGGCCTGGACAACATGGAGTCACCATCTGAGTCCCAGAAGTCTTCCTATTTTACTAAATGATTATGCAGATCAGGGGTTCCACCGCAGAGGCCTGACTTGGAGGTGGGGGGGATTAGGAGGGGTGAGGGTGGTACAGAATGGGAATGGCTGGTGTCCATAGTGGAATATGCCTTTCAGATGGAGAAACAGCCCACTTCCTGTCAGGTATGCAGTGCTACCCATTGTGCCTTCCAGTCCCATAGAATCTGTCCTCCTCTGTGAGGGAGAGATAAGCTATGTCCAATCTGACCCCTTAAGCCTTATCCTTCCATCAGGGGTTACAGTTTCCTCAAGTCTGTGGTTTGGTTTCCGTCATCTTTGTATACCCAGCATAGTGCTCATCAGAGCACACACTCAAATGTATGAGTGAAGGAATGAATTAGGGATTTCTAAATCTACCAAGGCCACTTAACTATTCTGTTAGAACTGCTTTTATACAAACCAGTGAGGAACTTAGGTTAAAATTCAGTTTTTTAAAGCATTAGTAATCCTGAATTATGGCATATATTTAACACCAAGCCATTTTCATAAGTTTTTTTTCTCTTTTCTTGTGCCAAATGTCTACTTAAAAGCTTTGGCCTGATATATTAAGCAATATGGAATCAATCTGGACTACGTAAAAGTGAGTTTTCTCTCATTTAAAATGCAGTACACACACTTCTTTTTGGAAGAAGTGGCTAAATTCTAACACGGTGGGAAACGTCGGGCCGACGAAGTCATTTGCTAAGGCATTAGGGGTGAACTAATGAAATGTTTGATCAAATACAGCTAGCTAATTTTAAAATCTTTTTTGTTGAAAGTATTACATAAGTCCCCTTCCCCTCCCCCCCATCCCTTTTAGCCTGCCCCCTACCCTAAGCCTTTACATTATAGTTTGTGTCACTCTGAGTCCCCTTAATTCCACTTTTTTTTAGTATTTCTGGAGTCTGTATTTTCACCTTTATTTGATGCAAAAAAAAAAGGGGGGGGGATGATTTGGTGTCAGGGAACCCATTAGTACTGTGTGAACGTGAAGCTAGAGGTCGACTCTGGGCTCCTTACCTGGCGGCAGAATCCGCTGGTCCCCGCCACCCGTTGGGTTAAAACATCGGACGGCCGCCGCCGGCGTCCCCACCTCGACCAGGACTCTTCCGCGTTCCTCAACTTCCGCTTCCGAAGTGGGAGGAGCCAGGCTGCCAGGCCTGCAGGCACCAAACACCGGAAGCGCGTCAGCGTTCAGCTTCAGAAGACCCCGCCTCTGGATCTTCTGATTCGGCTCCCAGAGTGCAACGCGCCGGGGGGCGGGACGGTGTGAAGCGGCGGCCCGGAAGGCGGAAGTGCCGAGCTTCCGGTCGTCTGGAGCGTGTGTGCCGTTAAGGTTGAACCTGTGGAGGTAAGTGGGTGTCCGGTGGGGCGTGGGACTCCGGGTTCCACTCTCCCTCTCGTAGAGAAACGCGCCTGCAGTCTCGTCCATCGCCGGGCCAGCTGAGGCGCCCGCCGCTCTTGAGGGCAAGGGCCTCTCGTCTCGGCGGCCCTCGGGCATCTCGGTGTCCTGGGCGAACTGGAGGCCTTCGTCGTCCAGTCTTCCTCGAGTTAACCTCGGCCCGCAAGACTTGTTTAACGAAATCCTTCTATCCCGCTGCATACAGGTTATGGGTGGTCATTCACAAGTTAAAAGCCTAAAGTGGTGATTGTTGGCATCCAAAGAAATGTTAGTTATTAATTCAACAGGTCTATTTAATCTTGGCTATGTGCAATGAGTTATATATAATGGGGGATCAAACGGTGAAAAAGACCTATTTTGTCCCTGCCTGATGGAGCTCACGGTTCATCGGGGGTGACAGAAAATAAACTCAGACTGTAACACATCTTAAAAAGGAAGGAAAAGGATGATAGCATGGAAGATACAAGGAGGGGAGCTGACAAGGTCAGAGAAGTCCTTTCTCAGGTAAGGAGGCGAAGGTGCAAGCCTTGAGAAGATCAGTTCTCAGGCACAGGAAAGCAAATGTAAAGGTACTGATGTGGACATAGTTTAGACTTTTTCCCACCCAAACAATGTCGTAATGATTTATATAACTGCATTATGGGTGTATAATTAACACAATAAACTTCATATGTTTAAAGTGTGTATTATAACCTTTGATATGTGTATGCAAATATAAGTCCAGCACAATTAAGATGATGTTATAAATCACTCACAAAACTATCCTTAAAAACTCTTTATAATCATTTCCTTCCTCTCTCTCATCGCATCCCCACTGTCCCTGCATTGTCACCAATTGGACTTTTTTTCAGATGCAATTGGGGGTGAAATGGAACATGAGGAGAGAGAGTTGAAGGAAGCAGGAGTCAGGTCACAAATAACCTTGTAGATCTTCAAGATAGGAGGTAGAGTCATTAAGGAAAGGCAATCATGTGCTCTAAGTTGTGTGTGTGTTTTTAATTTTAATTTTATTTGATTTTAAAGAAGAAAGGGTCGGGAGAGACACATCAGTGTGAGAGAGAAACTTTGATTGGTTGCCTCCTGCACACACCCCAACAAGAGATCAAATCTAATGGATATGTGCCCTGACTAGGACTCAAACCCACCACCTTTTGGGTGGTGCTCCAGCTATTTGAGCCACACTGGCTAGGGTTGCTCTAAGTTTTTAAATGCTCCCTAACCACCATGTGGAGGATTTAGGGCTAGGAATAGGGATGGAGAGAAAGCAACAGTGGAATTGGACAACTTTAAGATAGCTAGATTGACTTTAAGGGGTGGATAGTGATGACTTGGATGGGTGTCCTGTAGGATTGAGTGAAATCAAAATTCAGTTAAAAGAGATATTTATTTTATTTTATTTTAAAAATATATATATATTTTGATTTTTTTTACAGAGAGGAAGGGAGAGAGATAGAGAGCTAGAAACGTCAATGAGAGAGAATCATCGACCAGCTGCCTCTTGCACACCCCCCTACCAGGAACGTGCCTGCAACCAATGTACATGCCCTTGACTGGAATCGAACCTGGGACTTTTCAGTCCGCAGACCGACGCTCTACCACTAAGCCAAACCGGTTTCGGCTAAAAGAGATATTTATAAAAGCTTTTTGTGATTTGTAAGTTGTTACTTAAATGTAAGGTGATGATGCTCTTTGCATTTTGGAGGAAATTCAATTTTTGCATCTTGTGTGGAAACTCCAGCAACTTTCAGAATTGGCTTGCCGTATAGCTAGTGACCAAGGCGAGTTTGATTTGGTGTTCTTAATTATTCAATGACTGTAAATGGCCATGTTGATCCTCACATAATTTGCACATTAAGCCATCGTAAATCAAAGAGTTTTACCTTCCATTTGTTTATATTATGTAGAGATACCTTTTGATTTGGTTTTCCCAGCATTTTCCCCTTTTTGATGGTACATATTTACTTTTTTAATATGTATCTTTGTTCACTTTCCAGATAAAATATGGCTAAAAGCTTGCGGAGTAAGTGGAAAAGGAAGATGCGTGCTGAAAAGAGAAAAAAGAATGCCCCAAAGGAGCTTAACAGACTTAAAAATATTCTTAAAGCAGATACTGATGTTTTAATGAAAGATGTTCATGAGATAGCAACTGTGGTGGTCCCCAAACATTCTGAAGAGAAAACCCATTGTGTGGTGAAAGATGACAAAGGTGAGTTAAAAAAAAAAAAATTCTGCCAGTTTTCTTTTATGACTTTTTTTCTTTTGTCCTTTTTTCCTGTCTTCCATTCACTACTATACATGCATTGCTACAAACCTTCTGCCATGCCCACATTATTCTTTGAAAGCTTATAGTGCTGCTAGAGATTTGATGCTAAACTATTTTATAGCCAGTTCATATGAATAGGCACATTTGGGGATATGCAGAATGGGCCTTTGATGTTTATACAATAACCCAAATGTCTCAGAAATAGACAGTGCTATAGGCGTAGGCAAACCTAGACATCCTCGTTGGAAGGTACACAGTTCAGTCAGGGACGAGGCAGGACAAAAGGAGATCTTTCTTCATTTCACCCTTTGCAAGAACTAGTTCCCATCCTAAGAGTCCTCTGCATTTATATTATCCTGAAAATTCATAAAGTTTCCCTGTATTTGATTTTGACAAATTTTAGAGACCTCGTTGTCTTAATAGTCTAAAATTGGAGGCTGTGTATTATAGTTTCGATACATTGGTTTTCACATGGTTAATATACTACTTTGACAACAAATTAAATTAAGCACTCACAATGCCTAAGGTCAAAATATTGATAGAAGTGTATTTATGTGGTGTACAGTGGTCAAGGAAAAGAGAAGCATTCCTTAACTTTCTAATCCTAGAAATTTCCTTTCCCATTCTTCACAATGTCTCCCCATTTAGTAATCTACCTGTTTTCAATATGATTCCTCATCTCTGCTTTCAGGTTCATGTTTCCCCTTCCACTCTTTCATTTACCCACTTAATTTCTTAAGCCACAGATCTTTACCCTTGATCCCTCTTTCCTTTTTCTCCCACATCTAAACAACTAGCTCATCTTGAGTATCTTCAAAATACAACAGGAACCTATTCATTCTTCTCATTTATGCTTTCACTTTAAATAATCACTATCTCTCAACTGAACTATGATAGTAACCTTTTTACTTCTCTCTTCAGCTCTTGTTCTCTTCTGATTCATTCAGCCTATCCATAAGTGTGATCTTTTTAGAATATAAATCAAGTTTTATTTTAATGCTTAAAGCACCACATGTCTTTTCATGTGCTTAGCAGAGTCCACCATGTCTTACTAAATCTGATGTTAGTAGAGAGAGGTACAGAACCTCTCTGTAAAAAACTGCTTACCACAGGCTGAAGTTTGCCTGTTATTCTCCTCTCAAAAGAACATTGTAAACTCTATGAGAGCAGGGAGGTTATTTGGACCACTATGTCCCTAGACCTAGAATAGCACTTAAGATAATCATCCATCAACTAGTTATTCCAAGTACTATGGAAACAATGAATATTAGAGAAAAGGCCTCTATTCTAGTATACTTGCCTTGTTTTAGAGGCGAAAGAAAGTAAACCAGATAAGTGAATGTCAGGAGGTAGAAATCATGGAATACCTTGTATACCTTGGTCAGTTCTCAGGGAGGGCCATTCTGGGCATGTTCTTCACAGTAAGAAAGGTTGGTGGTGGATGTACCACAGCATGGTTGCACTGAGCTTCCTGCCAAGTCTCCTGTTAGTAGAGCTGGATTTCTGCGTGTTATCTGGATAGAAAAATGTGGTAGTCCTGAAATAATCCAGTCATTCTCTATTTCCTCTCCATCTCTGTCATCTAAAGCCTGCTGCTTACTGCTACTCCTCTTTCTACTTCACAGCATTAGAAGTGGCCATTCATTTTGAATCAGCTCATTTACTTCTGAGGCCTGTCTATTAGAAGTGGGGGTACACTTCTTAATGGCACAGCTGTCTTATTTAGCTCAAGAAGGCACTTAATTTAAGAAATGTTCTTGTAACTCACTCAGAACCATATATTAGCCCCTAACGCAGTAACTCAAATTCATTCATCCTAAATGGTTCCTGTTTAACTTTTTCTATTCTAAAGGACAGTCATGACAACATTCTTTAGAAAGTTTTTTAGTGACTAAAAAAGTGATGTCTCTTTCCTCCCAAATACTTTTCCTTCACAATTGTAGAAACACTTGACAGCATGTGTGTGACTCCATTGAAAGTGTTGTTAGAGGTTTTAGAGTTAGTCAAATCAGGGATTTGTGTTCTCTTTTGTAGTTTCAGACCACATTCACTATTGATGTTCTCACTGCATTAAAATGCTTTTATACAGGGTTGATTTTTCATTCGTGAGTATTAACAACTTTTCCATTTTTTTAATTCAGATGACATGAAAATGGAGACTGACATTAAGAGAAACAAAAAGAGTCTTCTAGACCAGCATGGACAATATCCCATATGGATGAACCAGAGGCAAAGAAAAAGGCTGAAGGCAAAGCGAGAAAAAGCAAAGGGGAAAAGCAAAGCAAAAGCAGCAAAGGCGGCTAAGGGTTTGGCCTGGTAGACTTTTGAAAACTTGAAAAGTGCCCCATGGGACAGATCTTTGATCAGAATGTATACACCTGTTTCAGCTTCTATCAAATGAAAACCTTGCTTTCGTTTTTTAACTGGGCCTTTTTTTTCAAACCCAACATAACATCTCAAATTTGTTTTAGGAATTTGAATAAAATACTGCCTTCTGTGAATGAAAGCTGTACTTACATTTAAGTTGGATGCTATCTAATATACAGGGATTGGATTACCAGACATCAAAATTCTATCAAATATTAATGTGGTTGTGGTTTTTGGTTTTAGTAAAGATAAGTGATATTATACTAACTCAAATTAAAGAAGAAGAATTAGTGTTATTTTAAAATGTAATGTCAGTGGATCTTATGAGAAGTACTTATTTGGAGTTTTGAATTTGTATAATTCATAATAAAAGGTATTTTGTTTAGATTGTGAATATCTTTTCTTTCATGTATCCTTAAGATATTGTAGTGGAGAAGTCCAGATTCTTTTTTAAAATTTTTAGATAGATTATTAACATGTACTAGTTAGTATGACCCATCTCTTAAGGAGATTAGAATATCATGGGAACTAGCTGAATGTTTATCAGTTTTTATATTATATAGCCTAATATAATGCAACATTTCCAAGACTATATTTTTCAGGATCTATTTTTCCAGATGTGTGGTGAAAAAAATACATTTTATAGTCACATCAGTTTTGGAAGTGCTACATGCTTGAAGATACATGGAAAGTATTTGCTCAGTATTATTTTGTAGAGATCTAGCGATAAAGAAACTTGTTTAGCTTTGACTTGTTGAAACTAGTATTCAGAAGAATAGAATATACTGTTGGAAATGTTTGTATAATGAAATTATTTTTGTTGGCTCTGTCTTGCTACAGTTTACTAATTTCACTCTTATTTAAGTTTACTCTTATTTTTAATTTTTAGTTGTGTTAATTCTCACCCCAGGATATTTTTTCTATTGATTTTTAGAGAGAGTGGAAGGGAGGGAGGGGGGAGAGGGAAAGAAACATTGATGTGAGAGACATATACATTGGTTGCCTCCCACATGGAGATTGAACCTGTAACCTAGGTATATGCCCATGACTGGAATCAAACCCATAACCCTTGGTGCACAGGCCCATGCTCTAACTGCTGACCCACACTGGCCAGGGCTAAGTTTACTTTTAGTTAAGCCATTTAAACTTAGCATTCACCAAGCCCTGGCCAGTCATGGTGCATGTGGGAGGCAACCAGTCGATGTGTTTCTCACATCAATGTTTCTTTGTCTCTTCCCACCTCTACCTTCTTTCCATGCTCTTTAAAAAGCAATAGAAAAAATATCCTCAGGTGAAGTTTAACAAAAAAATAAAATAACCTTAGCGTTCCCTCTGAAATTTCACTGTAAATATATTAACCATCACCATATATTCACTGGAACAACAAATATTTGAGTGCCTAGTGTATGCCAGGGTCTTTTCCAGGTGTTAGGGGCACAGGGAACAACACAAGGTGTCTGCCTTTATGGATGTGTACTCAGAGGCGGCTGTTAACTTCAGAAGAAAACTAAATTAAAAGTGAAATCTATTAGAATAAAGTCACTTAGTCATCTGGAGACAAGTTTTATGCCAGGCAAACTGCTAGGTTGGGATACAATCTTACAGAATAAAGAGGTAATATGCAAATTGACCATAAATACCCTCACACAAATGGCCGCCTCTGTGTGGTCAAAAGCTGGCCACCACAAGATGGCTGGCAGGAGAGGGCAGTTGTGAGTGACCAGGCCGGCAGGGGACGGCTGTTGGGGTGACTGGGCCAACATGGGAGGGCAATTGGGGGTGACCAGGCTGGCAGGGAGGGGGGGCAGTTTGGGACAACTGGGCCTGCAGGAGATGGCAGGGGCAACCAGGCCAGCTGGGGAGGGCAGGTAGGGGCAATGAGGCAGTCAGGCAGGTGAGCGGTTGGGAGCCAACAGTCCTGGATTGTGAGAGGGCTGTCTTAGGGGTATCAGATTGGAGAGGGCACAGGCTGGGCATAGGGACTCTCCTCTCCCCCACCCTCCATCCCCAATGCACATATTTCATGTACTACAGACCTCTAGTATAGAGATAAATAGGACACGACTCAAATCTTTTAGGAGTTTTGAATCTATAAATCTGCCAGTAAAATCTTAAAAATTATTTTACGTAATAGACTTTTCTCAATTTACTCAGTTCACCAAAAAGTTAGTGGATAATTTTTAAATACTTAAAATAAGTTTTCTCAAAGAATCTAATAGAAGATTTGAGCCCTAGCCGGTTTGGCTCAGTGTATAGAACATCGGCCTGCAGACTGAAGGGTCCTGGGTTCGATTCCAGTAAAGGGCACATACCCAGGTTGTGGGCTTGATCCCCAGTAGGGTTTGTGCAGGAAGCAGCCAATCAATCATTCTCTCTCATTGATGTTCCTTCTCCCTCTTTGAAATCAATAAAAATATATTTAGAGGGGGAAAAAAGTGAGTTGGAAAATAAATGTCATTAATGGCCTTTTTTTGCCTTTTGTTATAGTTATGAACAACAAATAGAGTTTGTGAGGAAAAGGTAAATAAATATTTATTCATGAAATAAAAAGTTGCTAACATCCTAAATTTACTAGCTAAACTGTTTACCTTTTAGGAATTGTCTGTATCAGTGATGTTACCCATTTAGTGCTTATTTATATTTTGGTAACATTGTCAGGTATTGTTTTACTGGATTCTGTCCAAGAGTCCAGTGCCCAAGATATGTTTTCTGTTGCTGATAACTTCTAATTTGACTCCAGTGGTAGTTGCTTTGAGCATTTTCATCCAGGGCCTCATAATGATACAGGTATAGGTATGTTCACTTAATTTTGTCCAGTCCTGAAGTTTGTGCAGTCAGGATTTAACAAGTTAACAAAATAAAAAATCAAACACCATTGTCAATAACTTATTTGAGAAACATGTCCTTAAATGTCCTATAGCTTCTGGAAAGGATATTAAAAAGAAATTGTCTTGCACTAGGTTGAGATGGGCCACTAAAGCACTGAGTTGGTGTATTGCACTGCCAGCAAGATTTACCCCCTCCAAATTTTGGCAGAAAATTTAGACTGGCATTCAAAAATGAATATAGGGTATGATCACTTTTTTGTTGCTTTATATTTAAATATTATAATTAAGAAGTATAGCCCCAACCGGGTGGCTCAGATGGTTGGAGCATTGTCTTGTATACCAAAAATGTAGGCTGGATTCCTGGTCAGCACATATTCATAGGTTGTGGATTCCATCCCTAGTCGGGGTACATAGAGGACGCAACCAATTGATGTTTCTTTTGCATGGATGTTTCTCCCTCTCTCTCTAAAAAAATAATGAAAACATGCCCTCAGGTGAGGATTTAAATTTTTTTTTTTTAAAAAATATATAGCAATGTCATTAAATCTTTTAAATGAGTAAAATATTTTTTTGAAAATTTGTCATCTTTTTATTGGACCTATATTTTCCAGGGAATTGCTGTAAAACCACCAGATGGAGCTCAAGCTAAGCACCAAATCATTTTTGGAATTAGGATGAGTGGGCTCAATCACATTCTGAATTGAATGTAACATTTTCTTTTTTTTAATTTAATTTAAAATTAATTTAAAATAAGGATAAAAAATGCTTTCATTATTGGTTGCTTCATATATCAGAACTTAGTCTAAATTATTTAATCCTAAACTCTTCAATCACAGTATTAACTCATCCTCCCAGCAATCTATGAGTTGGGTACTCCTGGGAAAAGTGAAGCATACAGGTCCTATGGCTAAAACTGGAAGAACTGGAATTCAAGTTTAGGCTCCAGAGCCTACAATCTTAAAATGCTATTTGACCTCTAAAGGATGTACAAGCTTAGTAGGAAAGAAAGGTAGTTTTAGGATAGAGTACCTGTTTTTGGTCCAAACCATGATGCAAGCTTGGGATCGGATGAAGAGCAGGTTTTAGCAGAGAAATCGTTTATAGAACCCTTCTTAAATCTCTGGGCCTAGCCCAGACTGGAGTTCCCTCGGTAGCACTCCCTTAGCATGGGCTGATCCAGTCACAAAGGTGAAGCCCAAGGTCAGTGGTGTGCACGCTACTAAACAGAAGAAATGCCAACTACAGTTGAAACTTTTAAGGTAGAATCAAGTAGTGGTTTTGACCACTTCTTTTTATTTTTAATGTCACATGGATGTAAATAATTTTCCCTACTAGATCACAAATTTGTAGCAAATATATTTATTTATTAGAAAATTTGTATATGTTCAGAATTTGAATCAATATTAAGATGGGATTTTTAGGAGTTGGGGAAATAAAAACTGTCTGACTTGATTTGAGTATCTGAAACGGACTGTGTAATGAAGGTGAAGGGCATTGATGTATGGTTTAGACTAGTGAAGTGCTAGCCACACAATATAGTAAATGGGAGAAGTCTAAAGAGACTTAAAAGAATTGCCAAATTTATAAATACTGCTATTGAGATGAAGATGTTGGGCTGTTGACCAGCTAAGTGACTGGCTTCTGATGTCACTTGGCAGAGTGATTCAAATTCATGTTAGGTACAAAATAGAATTCTTTCCCCCTGTATTTGCCTGTATATACACATACCATTGCAGCCCTGGCTGAGTGGTTCAGTTGATTGGTGTGTTGTCCTGTACACCAAAAGATTGCAGGTTCAATCCCTGGACAGACAAGTACTAGAGGCAACCAATTGATGTTTTTCTCTCATCCCTCCCTTCCTTCGTCCCTCCCACTTCTTTTTCCTTCCTTTCTCTCTAAATAAGATAAATAAAAACATATTCTTGGGTGAGAATTAGAATATATACCATTGCATCAAGCACATATGAATTTTACAAGGAATTGTTGGAGGGGAGTGGGGAGCTGTTAAGTACTCATGCCAGCCCAGAGGCCACTCTGCTGTTTGCAGGGTCCTGTCATACAGCAGGAAAGCCTGGCCAGATGTATGCCTGCCTATAAAACCCCTAGCTTTTGCAAAGTTGAATGCTAAGGGTCTTCACCTATTTTATTTTATTTTATTTTATTTTATTTTATTTTATTTTATTTTATTTTATTTATGTATTTATGTATTTATTTAAATCTTTATTGTTCAGATTATTACAGTTGTTCCTCTTTCCCCCTCATATCTCCCCTCCACCTGGTTCCTTCGCCCCTCCCATGCCCTTACTCCCCCCCCCCCCCCGCCCCATACTCATCCATTGGTGTATGATTTTTGTCCAGTCTCTTCCTGCACCCCCCACACCCCTCCCCCCCCACCCCAGGATTGTCAGTCCACTCCCTTTCTTTGCCCCTGATTCTATTATTTTCACCAGTTTATTCTGTTCATCAGATTTTTTATTCACTTGGCTTTTAGATTCACTTGTTGATAGATATGTATTTGTTGTTCATAATTTTTATCTTTACCTTTTTCTTCTTCCTCTTCTTAAAG